ACCAACGTCAAGTCAGTGCTCTTGTATGGCTCAGAGACTTGGCGCGTCACGAAAGGTATTTCCAATAAACTACAGACATTCATCAACAACTGCTTACGCTCGCTGCTGAAGATCAGATGGCCAGAAAAAATAAGCAACAAGGAACTCTGGGAACGAAGCAACCAAGAACCTATCACGCAACAAATATGCAGGAGGAAGTGGAGATGGATTGGCCATGCACTGAGTAGGCCGACTGAGGACATCACGCGTCAGGCCCTCGAGTGGAATCCCCATGGGAAGCGACGAGTTGGACGTCCGAGGGTGACATGGAGGAGGTCGTGCGAAGAGGAAATGAGAGCTTGTGGGCTGTCGTGGGACCAGGTTCAAAAGATCTCAGAGAACAAAGTGTACTGGAGGCGTGCTACTGAAGCCCTATGTTCCACTAGGAACCCAAGGGACTAATAATAATAATAATAATAGTGTTTGGAGAGAATTAGTTGGTTTATGAGGGGTCACACCAATTCCAAATTATTATTATTATTATTTGTCCCTTGGGTCCCTAATGGAACACAGGGCTTCAGTAGCACGTCTCCAATGCGCTCCGTTCTCTGCAAACTTTTGAACCTGGTTCCACGACTACCCACAAGCTCTCATTTCTTCCTCACACCATCTCCTCCATGTCAACCTCGGACGCCCAACTCGTCGCTACTCATCTGGGTTCCACTCGGGACATGGTCTGGCGCGTGATGTCCCCAGTCGGTCTTCTCAGGGCATGCCAATCCAATCCATCTCCACTTCCTTCCACTGCATATTTCTTCAGTGATAGGTTCTTGGTTGGTTCGTGGCCATCCAGCCAGAGTTCCTTGTTGCTTATTCTTATTATTCTGGTCATCTGATCTTCAGTAACGAGCCAGCATAGACTGCAGCTGTTGATGAATATCTGTAGTTCGTTGGAAATCCCTTTCGTAACCCTCAAGTCCCTGAACCATATAGCAGCATTGACTTGACTGAATTGGTGTTGAAAATCCGGATCTTGTTGACGCTTTATGGTGAGTGCAGTGCAGAAGATCGCCACACTGGTTTCAGGTTAATCAACGCCTGTCATGTTGTCTTTCAGATCCTATGTAGCTTTGACGTCCTCGTCTGTGCCTGTGCCGCCTGTAGATGAGAGGATGCTGTCTAGGTTGGTAGGTGAAAAAGCCTACTTCCTTTATGTTTCTCCCATTGATGGTGATTGGAGCTTCTTGTTGCTGTTGTTGTTGTTGTTGGTTGGCTATCTTCATCACCTCTATCTTTTCTACATTCACTTGACGGAAGTCCCGTCTTCGCTGCCCTACCTCGCCTATTCTGTCAACTTGTTGGTTTTCGTCTGTAGATCTTCGAGTTTGTGCCACGAGATATTACACACCAATCATTGGTGAAATTCAAATCTTCTAGGCTTTTTTCCGCAATCCATCGTATCCCCCTCTTCTCGCCCCTCACTGTTTGTTGCATATTCCAGTTCACCACAATCAGGAAGATCATGAGTGATATTTGGCAGCCTTGTCTTACTCCTGTCTTCACTTCAAAAGCATAACTGACCTTCCCATTGTGAATTACTTGGCATGTGGTGTCTTCATATATTTGTTAAATGAGATTGATATAGGTTTGTGGTATTCCGTAGTGTTAAAGCAACTGCTAAATTACCTCTCGGTCGACGCTGTCGAAGGCCTTTTCAATGTCAATGAAGTTGAGGTAGAGGGTTAACTACCTCTCTATACCCTGTTCTATGATGATGCGTAGCGTTGCAATTTGGTCCGCACATGATTACACCAATTCCAAATGGTCACAGTAATCTTGTCGTGACTTCTGATACATTCTTTATGTATGGTAGGACGATGCGTTTATTAATTGTAGTTGATGATGTACGGGATAGGCGTCTTGTGATAATGTTTCACGGGTAGTCGTTCTTTTCAAGATGGACATCAAGTAATTTTCTTCATTTCTCTGTGAAGTTGTTGTACTGCAAAGTCTGTAGGCAACTAATTTTGTGCGCTTTTGGGTTGTTGTTACTGTAGTTGAGGATTTGATCAGCATGTGTTGCCTTTCCAGCTTTCCAGAATTTGTCCTACTGATTAAAACATCCAGGAATGGTAGTTGGTTGTTTGGTTTCTTCTCCATTGTGAAATTGATGTCAGTGAAAACCTTGTTAATCAAACTGTGAGTGTTTTCTATATCGTCTTTCTTAGTGATAACAAAAGTGTCGTCCACATAGTGAATCTAAATTTTTGGTTTGATCACAGGTAGGATGATGGCCTCCAGTGCTGATGATGTCGATGTCTAGAAAGACGATGAAAGCTTCATGATTAAACACCCAGCTCAGAGAACACAATATAACCAAGACCTTCCATATGAGCTGAAAATATTCTCCACCATTTCAATTAAGGTTCAGAAAACATCCTCATCTTATCCACTCGTCTGAGTAGGATTGACATCTGAAAAATTTGTATCAGATAAGACAAAGAGTGGACGAAAACTACTTAACAAGGGTGAGGTATCTTAATAATCATAAAGGATGAGGATCATTCGTAGAAGTATCCATGACCATTGTCTCAGCACAAAACGATTGTTATGACAATCTAAAGAACAGAATTCAGCCAGCCTCAAGTTTCTACTAGTCCATACCCAATAGGAATACAGGTAGACACTTTCTTCTTTGATTAGCACATTGGACTCACTAATTTAGGAAGTATCCTTATGCCAACTTGGCAGACGCAGAAGCCAATCAGTTATTATTCTTACTTGCAATATACCCACGAATATGAGACCAAGTAAGAACACAATAGCTTACTTAGATGGAATTGTATATTTGCGAGGTCTTGGTCTTGGTCAAATGGCCTAAATGATTGACTGTGTCCCTTCAGCTTAGCGAGTCCGACACAATTATGAAGTCTTCTTTTTACAAATTTAAAGCAACTAGTCGCTTTGATGAACATAAACAGCATAATGAGAAGACGAAGATTATCTGAAACATATCGTGATGTATTAGCTCTATACGCATTTGGAACAATCTGATCACATATCGACTTGTTAAACTATTTATATGAAGATTTTCGAAAAGGGTCAATGAAGTTAATAGGAAACGTCGTAGGAATAGGAAAGGGAGAGAAAAAAACGTTAAACACGTTACTCTTGATATGAAAATTAAAATCCACGCACCACCAAGGGTAGGTTCAACCTGAATACAAATTATTTTTGTTTACATAAAGCAAGGGGGTGGGTTTGAATTTACGGATGGCAAGAGCTTCAATAAATTTTGAGCACTCGGTTCAGACCACTTTTATGTAGTACTTTAAAGGCTGTTTTCATGTCTATTCTATGGTTAGCTTCTAGTATATGTTTAGCAATACATGAAGATAGATGTTTGTCACCTACACTTATCGGATCTGCTGAGATAATTCATTTTCGAAGCCATTTAGGTGCATGTTCAACCTTCCTTAACTGCATATCACTATTACTTCTCCCTACATATGTGTGTCCACACGTACATGTAAATTGATAAACACAGTGAGATGTGATGTAATCGTTTATATGTTGTTTTGTTTTGTGCTGTAACATGGACTTGGTCTTCTCTACAATGATGACCTTGACTGCATAATACGTTTTACAGATGACCAATCTAAGTCTTTTCCTCATAGCAAAGCTATGTGAATCACCTCTAAGTGGTAATGAGATGTAGACATTTGTCTTAGCAATGGAACACTGTATACTTTTCAATGCTACATAACTTTTGCACCTGTCGATAAATCTCAACGAGTATCCATTCTGTATCAGTGTTGTAGTCAGTAAGTTGGTTTCTTCCTCCCTGGTGTCATCGGTGCAGATGTGGTTTATCCTGTTGAATAAGCATCTATGTATGGGCAACAAACATAAGGAGGAGTAATCGTGATATGCAGTTAAGGAAGGTTGAACATCTACCTAAGTATCTGGAATCAAAAACAAATGACCTCAACAGATCCATCTTCATCTATCACTAAACATATACTAGAAACTAACCATAGAATAGACATGAAAACAGCCTTTAAAGTACTACATAAAAGTGGTCAGAACCGAGTGCTCAAAATTTATTGAAGCTCTTGCCATCCGTAAATTCAAACCCACCCCCCTGCTTTATGTATAGAAAAATAATTTGTATTCAGGTTGAACCTACCCTTGGTGGTGTATTGATTTTAACTTTCATAACAAGAGTAAGGTGTTAATGATGGATGCTCATTTCGTCCTATATTAGACTCATCTGCTGGATGTACCTGCCTCCCAGTGAGTGTTGTTCTCACTGGGATTCGGACTCGGGTAATCCACTACACCACCGAGCCGCAATAGCCACTTTTTGTGCGACGGGTATAGTTTTAGTATAATTTTCCCTGTAGGTCACCGCCATGGTGTGGTGGATGACGGTCTGGAGTTTGAAGCGGTCGCTCCCGAGTCCGAGTCCCGGTTGGAACGACACTCACTGAGAGACAGGTACATCCAGCTGACTAGTCCCAAATTGGACGAAATGAGCATACTTGATTCCACTGCTAGCCACTGCTCATCATTATTATACACAATTAGAACGCTGGCAATATCGAGGCATCTGCACAGGAGCCCATATGCCAACAGAGACGGATCAATTCGATCCAATCAACGACGGTATAATATGAAGGCAATTAAACCAAGAGTAACGTGATTAACGTTTTTTCTTGTTTTTCTATCCCTTCCTATTCCTCCGATATTTCCTATTAACTTCATTGACAATTTTCACATATTTTCATATAAATATGTTCGACATGTCGATATGTAATGAGATTGCGTTAATACATCATGACATGTTTCACATAATCTTTGTCTTCTGATTACGCTGTTTAAAACTATGAAGATTGACATCATTGTTGAATGTAATCGGATCCTAAGTTATTGATTCTGAAGAAGTATGTGTAACGCTACACGTTCATCAATACATATAAACTGTGAGATTAGAATATCATAAACATTATATCACTTACATTCATCAAATGTTAACAAGTGTACCAATCGTCTGACTAGACCAGATTCAACCATACGTACTCGATTTGATTGACCATAGATATTAGCATGCTTTGTGATTAACATAATTATTGTTAACACATCATTGCGTAGATTACGATAAAGTTTTGAATGACTTTGAGCCAATAATGTAAAGAATATATCTCGAAGTTTCAGTAAACAATCCTTTTCAGAGGCAAAAAACAAAACAAAACACAACCGCCTATAAGATTACAAGATAAAAGTGAATCGATAACCACGGTGTTATTGATTACACTGGAAGGCGGAAGTGACCTGGTTAAACTTTGGGCTACTGGAAATTTTCTACCGAATTTATTTCATCAGATTCTCTTCTTTCAATTTGTTCCTTGCAAACATGTTAAGTACTGTTGCACACTTTAGAAATGGTTTCAATCTACCATTCTCCAAGTTATGAACAAACACAAAGCGAAAACGTTATGCCGACAAGAGATGGGCTTATAAATGATCAGTACATTACTACTACTTGAATAACTCTGTTGAATTGCAAATTTTTGTAGTGGTTAAATAAACTACTACTATCAATTTCGTTATACTACTAACAAAGTATTCGAATTGAAAATGGATAGGAAACAGTTGGTGGCAGTAACAGTCACTTTTTGAAAGTTATGTCATGAAATTATGTTTCAGTGTTTTTCAGACACTTTCTCAACTGGAAATCTTTTTAACAACCTTTCAAAAACCGATTCAGTAGTTGACTTTGGAATGAAATTGGAAAATGACTTAAAGGTGACTTACTCCTACAAAATATTTCACTTTAATTTCAACTGCATAGGTCTATCTTCCTGAATATCTCTACTGGTTCATCTCTTTTGAACTGACTGGAAGACATTTGTGTGTGTGTGTGTGTGTGTCAGCTTGACTATCTGATTGAATTTAAAACAATTAGTTTCCTTTATAAACTTCGACAAGACAATAAGAAGACGTAAATTGTCTGAACCGTGTAATGTGCATTTGTGCAACACATTTCGAACTATCTGATCACACACGTACTTGTCATGGGTATTTATATAAAAACTCATGAAGATAAGGGGTGAGAAAATAAAAAGGGGTCAAGTAGGAAGGCTGACTTAAAGGCCGAATAACAATGAAAATCAATAGAGCGAAAAAATAATGGTACATCGAACTTGGTTTTCAATAGTTGAATTTACTAAGGAAGGTTAAATGTGACAACAAATTGTTTATGAACAAACAAATATGGTTTCACCTTTCTAATAGCTAAGGCGTCAACCAATTTAAAGGTCCCTCCCCTAACATGTTTTGTAAATAGGTGTGAAAGAAGTAGCTACACCAATCCTGTGGCCTGTCTCAACGATATGTTTGGCGATTGACGGACTTGGACGTCCGCTACCAACATTTATGGGTTCAGGTGATTTAATTTGCTTCTGAAGTCACTTTGGAATATGTTCTGAGGCCCTTACTTGCATGGATCTATGAGTTGTCCCTATGTTTGTGTCACCATACTTACATTCGAATTGGTAGATACAATGGGATGTGACATTATCGTTCACATGCTGTGGGGGGTTGGGGGAATATACGGGCTTCGTGGCTCCGATTACTTGAACCCTGGCTGCAGTGTTAAATCCCTGCCTAAGGATTGAACTATGATAGTCACCTTTGTATGGAAGGCTGATGAAGACATCCTTCTTTGGGACTGACTGAAGGTCTAGTTTTGCCGCTCTGATAATTTTGTTCTTCCTAATAAATGTTGATGGATAGTTATTTTCCAACAGAATATCAGTCAGTGTTCTTCTTTCATCTTCTAAAGTATCCTCTGTGCATATTCATTGAATTCTGCTGAATAAGCACCTTACTAACGTTGGCTTGTACTGAATTGGGCAAAAGCTATGGTAATTCCGATATTGCCCTGTCCATGTAGATTTTCCGTAGATAGATCGTTTTATGGATCCATCCTGCCTTCGACTAATTAATATATCTAGGAACGGCAAGCAGTCATCTTCCTGTCTTACACATGTCAAAGATATGCTGTTCTGTACTTCGTTCAGTCGGTTTAGAATTGAAGTAGCCTGATTTGAGTTTTCACAAATAATCAGGATATCGTCAACATATCTTCGATACAGATGGGCTTGGTCTATTAAGTTCTCGGTTAAGTTCTCAACGTGTGACATAAATATGTCGGCTAGGAGGGGACCTAAAGGACTTCCCATAGCGACACCATCAACCTGGCGGAAATGTTCGGAAATGTTCTGATTGAAGGTGAAATGAGAATGCGGACCACCGACCATCAGGTTTCCGATTCGATGCTCTACCAACTCAGCTGGAGAACTCAGATGCTAGTTGAACAGATTTTTCAATTTCACTTCAGTTACCAAGGACTTTTCCCCGACTGTCGTGTGAATTCATGATGCATTACTATAGATTGATCTTGTTTACACTCCCCGGGCAGCCAGAATGCAACCGTGGTCCACATTTCACTTCGCCTGCAGACATCACCCAGTGTATATATATATCACAGTAGGTTTCCTAATTTCAGAGGAGACAAACGTCTTGAATTTCGATTCTACTTGCTAAACACTGACAGCGATCTGCTTGAACCTAGGGCTACTGGAAATTATCCACCGAATTTATTTGATCAAATTCTTCCCTTTTCAATTTGTTTTAATCCTTTAAAATGTTCCTTTTCAATGTGTCAAATACTCTTGTACACTTTGGAAAGGGTTTCAGTCTGCTACATTTTTTTTTCAAGGCAACAGCAAAATAAAGAATAAACATTACGCTGGTAAGAGATGGGCTTATAAATGCACAGAACTATACCGTATTACTATTCTCTGGATAACAATGTCGAATTTCAGAATTCGGTACTGGATAAATAAACTACTACCACCTAAATTACACTCGATATTCTATTCTATTCTATTGAAATTAATCCAATCATATTCACCTCATAGACCCCCATTTGAAATACATAGAATTGGATTATTGCAAAAGCTTTCCGAGGGTGGACTTAAGGAATGTCAACCTTTTTCGACATGTGTGTGTCTTTCGAAGTAAGTAGATACAAGTTACCATTCAGTTTTAGATTTCATAAAATCAACAACATGAAATCGTGAGCTAACAGAAGTTGGAAATATGGAGCATTGGATTCTGACCCAGTGGCTAGCTCAATGGTAACGCGCTGGTCGCGGAACCTGAAGGTCGCGGGTTCGGTCCCTGCTGGTGGGGTCGTGGGTGCGCACTGCTGAGGAGTCCCATACTAGGACGAAACAGCTGTCCAGTGCTCCCAGGTTTCCTTTGTTCCTCCGACTGATGTCAGTCTTCGATGAATAACAACATGAAATCACTGATTGTAATGATTAGACAACATATCATCTAATCTCGACTACAAACATTTACATATACACTTAAAACAAGAACTTGTTTATGCATTTCACTGATAAATTGTACGAAAAATCATCCATTTTTCAGTTGAAGTAACGCAGTCCATCATTCCTCGATGGAAATTACTGTTTTAAAAGTGTCGAAGGGTTTTTAATGTATCTATACAAAGTTAAATAACTAAGTTTTCATCTATTGTTATGATAGTGTTATTGCTTGTATGACACCATCGTTGATTGGACCGAATTGATCAGTCTCTGTTGACAGATGGGTTCCTGTGCGGATGCCCCAATATTGCCTGTGTTCTAATTATGTATAGTAATGATGGTCAGTGGCTAGTAGTAGAATCCAGGATGCGCAAGAAGTGGCTATCGTGGCTCGGTGGTGTAGTAGGCAACGCCCTGGCGTTTGAGGCGATCGCTCTCAGGTCCAAGTTTCGGTGGTAACAACATCACTCACTGGGAGGAAAGTACATCTAGCTGACCAGTGAGTCCCAAATAGGACAAAATTTGCTTCCCAGATTCCTCTGCTAGCCACTGCCCATCGTTACTATACATAATTAGATTGCTGGCAATATCGAGGCATCCGCAAAGGAGCCCATATGCCAACAGAGAGTGGTCAATTCAGTCCAGTCAACGACGGTGCAATACAAGCAACAATACTAAAACTGTACCCGTCGCACGAGAAATGGCTATCGTGGCTTGGTGGTGTAGTGGATAACGTTCTGGCGTTTGAGGCGATCGCTTCCAGGTCCAAGTCCCGGTAGGAACAGCATCACTCACTGGGAGGCAAGTACATCTACCTGAGCCCGAAATAGGACAAAATATGCATCCTGGATTCCACTGTCCATCATTGCTATTTTTATGGTAGTTGCAACTTCCTGTTGTTATACAGAGTCGAATTGCTCGACCTCTGCAATTGCCGCTCATTAAAGTGCAGGTACATCCAGCTACCGAGTCCCACATAGGACAAAATATGCTTCCTGGATTCCTTTGCTTGTCACCAACATGAATTAAAGCCTTCTATTCATCTTGACTTGATACTAAAACACTACAGCCTTTGATGAATTCCTCTTGCTTCACTACATTCTGGACAATTGTATGACAACCAAGCAATATCATAAGCACATTAGGTGTATTTTCCTTGAAAACCATATTCGAAAGAGAAATCTGTTTCATCTCATCCTCATAGGCTTCCTCTCAAAAAGTCCTAACAGATTGTGTCTATGTCTCAGAGGTTCCATACATTTAGTTCTCTTTTAAGCAGTGAGAACGCGGTTCGCAAGATAAAGTTAAGTCATTTATTTCATAGAATTTCCTTCAGCTACAAACCATCCGAGTAAATAAGTAAATTGTTACCATAACAAGAACTAACATACTTTATATGGAGCATCTTTACGATACCACCCAACGTTTTAGAGAACAGAAAAATATGATAATTCAAGACACAAAGAAAGTCCAGGTGATAAGTATTATTATTATTATTTTATTATTAGTCCCTTGGGTTCCTAATGGAACACAGGGCTTCAGTAGCACATCTCCAGTGAACTCTGTTCTCTGAAATCTTTTCAACCTGGTTCCACGACAGCCCAGAAGCTCTCATTTCATCCTCACACGATCTCCTCCATATCACCATCACCTCGGACGCCCAGCTCGTCGCTTCCCATGGGGACTCCACTCGAGGGCCTGACGCGTGATGTCCCCAGTCGGCCTTCTCAGTCTATGCCCAATCCATCTCCACTTCCTTCCACCGCATATTTGTTGGGTGATAGGTTCTTGGTTGGTTCGTTCCCAGAACTCCTTGTTGCTTAT